GGGATTCAACAAACGCGAAAGTATTTCGGGGACATTTCCATGCTTAATAATGTGCTGTCCACATTTGATGATGGGCAATTTTGATTAAGTAAGGGTATTCGGAAGCAATATTCCTCTGTCGAAGATCGGCCGGTCAATGTAAGCTGCGAAATAAAGAAATTCTAGTTCAAAATCAAATCGTTTGATTTTGCGGCAGACGTTCGACGTGCGTCTTTCATGCATCTCGCGAGATCTCGCAATTGTACGGAAAATCACCTATTAGAGCAAATATCACTGAGACTTTACTATAGGTTCTAATTAGAGGTTCAAAAATGAGATTTATTTTGCTGTGATGATCACTAAAATGTTGGGTACATCAAATCAAACATGCTCGATATAAAACAGCTGGTTTTCAGCATTTTTATTTTTGCCTGCAGGCTGGGTGGTGTTCTTAGCTGGCCTGTGGACAGGGCAGTGTCTAATGCCCACCACATCTGTCCCACTTGTTCAGAGATTTATATTTGTCATGGTAATCAGCATTTTTTTTTAAATATGCGTATGCAAAACACAATTTTGAATTTGCATAAGTAGCTGCAACCTCCACAGGTGGTTGGTCGGTCGGTTGGTTTAGGGATGTCCCATCAGAGAGATATATTGAGTGAGTAGAGCTAGCTAGTGAACCATTCACTATTAGACAAATACGCAGGCAGGCAGGCAAGCAGGAAACCACTATGGAGGGTAAGCTTTTTTGTATTACGTGTTCCTAAACATTCTTACTATGAGCATACGTTTTTAATTTACTTCATGCTTGTTAGCTGCAGTGAGCGAGGTCAGTCTAGTCACAGTACCTGTTCTACCATAATAGACCACATATCTGGCGTAGCTATTAGTATTTAGAACCTTCATCTTGTGCTTAATGGCTGTTTTAACTGAAATTTAACAGATTTATATTGGAGGCATGTTTTCTGCCTTTAATCGTAAATTATACTGGTAGTTGCATCTGTGTTGATCCATTTTCATTTTGAAAAATTCTAGTGAGAGATATTTATACCGTCAAAGTATGGGAGTTGTTTGTGATTTCAACCTCTGAGTTATAGAGTTCGCCTCGCCCAAAAACAAAGTGCTTTGCTTGGCTTTGATTATTATTTCAGTAAACGTGTAAACAAGCAGCATGATCTCGTGTGTGATCCTCTGCCAGATCATGAATAATGCATGGTCCTTTAAGTGTTAACACGTATATATACATGTATACTTTGTATCTGAACAACGAATCAATGCCGTTTAAAATATACTTTGACTAACAGCATTTTGTATTTCGTTGTGACACAGGTGGTGTGCGCAAAGCAATCTGATTACGTTAAACGCACTGAGAGTAGAGACCCATGTGTTATCAGATTTTCTATACAGTAAAAGATTTTAGTTATATTTAATTAAAAACTGTTCAAAATAAGTGTTAATTTGATTCCAGCACAGGGTTTTTAACCACTTTCTTTAAATTACGGTTCTCTTCGGTGTTGTGTGTTGTTCAGCCAAACAGAAACCTCGGTATATTAATACGGAGGTAATATTTTACCTATAAACTGGAACAATGATGGATTACGAGTGTAAATATATATATATATATATATAAAGCCATTAGTTGGTCTGTTGACCCTAAACAGTTCACATAAAGCAAAATTCCTCATGGACATAATATAGATCAAATCATATGAATTATTATAATTCTGGCAGATCAGCAGCTGATATGAGAATCTGACTAAATATGTATTTTTTATGTTCATGAATATTGTCCTTGTATGATGAAATAAAAAAAATGATTCTATTTTAGCAGGTTTTATTAGTACCTTTGCAACAAATTTTGTTCTAAAGTTCAAATTCCAATCATGCCACTTTATATTAACCCAAATAAATTATTAATGCGTTGATTCAAAAGCCCATTTTCTGTTTCTAACTAGGTCTCGGGTGACTGGCTTCTAGCATGACCATGTAGTACCGTAAAATCTGTATTAGAAGCCGCATCCCTAATAGAAGTCGCACCCATTCTTTTTGAATGTTTGAGAACCAAAAATTCATCATTTCTCATATGTGTAGATGCTCTAATAGAAGCCGCATCCCCTCTGTTGCATTGTACCATTTTAATAGAAGCCGCGGTTTCTAATACAGATTTTACAGTATATGCTATCTCAGTTATATGTTAGTGCTATATTAATTACGTTCACATTTTACTATTTTGTGTGCTGAATTTCTTACAAACTTTGACATAAAAAGACCTGGTGAGTGTACCAAGTCATGGTGAAAAACTCCTGATCTAAAAAGAGGCTGACAGTTATAGTAAAATTTTGGAGCTCTGTATTTCCCTCGACATTAAAATTTTGCGAAGGGAAGTGTACTTGTGGGCTGATAAGAAGAAGAAAAATAGTGGCTATACTTTTAATAATGTCAAACTTTGACAATTACTACTCAAAAGCTTGCAAATGTTGAGTTTAATATATTTTGTTATATTTGGACTACATGTATGTAGCCGCCTTCAGTTAAGATTGCGTATTGCCCATGTCCTCCATTGCTTTAAAGTAAATTCCGGCTCCAATTTGGCGATGTATTTTATTCTTGTGGGTAAAAGTGTAGCTTTGTCAAAGGAAAGTGACTTCCTCGCTGATCGTGCTGTATTGTTCCATCATCAAAATGACTTCCTGTCACAAGAAATTGATTTGAATCATAAAAGCCTTGTAGAATTCTGTATGTGTCTCTCAACGCACAAGCTTAATTTTTTCTACTTATGGGTGCTTTACATATTAATTTGAAAATAATAAATGAAATTTTATGTGTACTTTATATTCCTGGTGTTATAAAGTATAAATATTTAATGTGTTTAATCTTAATTCTCTTAGAGAAATAAGAACTATAGAATATCAACCAAAGAAAGTTGTCTATTTGCATTTTCACGCTCTATTCAGAAAATTTTACAATATGCTTTTTTAAAATAAAATCATTCCCTAATTTTGTCCCCAGACAAATTCACAATTATGTGGCTTTCCATTTATTTCCTTCTAAAGTAGTGTCATTGACAAGCAACTTTTTTGTGACTACCCCTGCTAAGTTTGCTTTTATGTTTATCTTTAATGATCAAATATGGTTTGATATATAGAAAGATAGTCCCCACTTTATGGCCCTAGCTCATCTCCTCACAAATTCAAACAAGCACAGACATAGGATTATTTCTTAATCCTTGTATACACTGTAATGACTTTTGGGCTGTTTCTAAGGAAGCAATTTCAATTTTCTATTGTGTCTTTCATGATAAAAACTGTCATCCCTGACATCAGCTTGCGAGTGACACATTCAGTGTTGTGACGACTCGTTTCTACTCCTAATATTCTGTAAATAGATTTAATTGAACGGGTAAGGAAAAATGTGACATTTTATACTTATTTCAGTGAGGGGGGGAAAAAAACAGCTAGTCGCAAATGCCTGGAAATTATTGCATTGCAAAACTTTGGCAGCAGTAAAAATTCTGCAAGATGAATTACAAAACGAGAAAAATAGTGAATTTTCTTACACTGAAGTTATCACGACTGTGATAATCAAGACAGAATCACTTTTTAGAAATTTAGTCTCTGCTAACTCCATTCATTATGTGAACATTTATGTTACCGGTAGTAACAGAGTACATTTATTGCCCCATCATTTAGTATGCAGTAAAAATTATACAGCTTTATTTTCAATCTTTTCAAAATTAGGGTCAATTGTAAAGTCAATTATAATTAATTAAAAAAAAAATTGATTGTGGATTTATTATTCAGTGAAGAAATCTGGATGGTAAAAATTGACTTTGATAAAATGACAGGTTAAATATTATGCTTTTGTGGGGTGATAATTCAATTAGTTCATGAATGAAATGATTTGGTTTGCAGCCTCTCCATATAGCATGTGAATATTTAAGTTGATTGGTGACAGCTTTTGAGAGTTGCATTTTACTGAATACAT